CAGAAATTCCCCCAGCTATTCCTGGTCATAAGATCAGGCTCAGTCCAAGGTGGTCTCTCTCTGTCACGCATTGAGGAAATCGTCCTCCATTGTTACAGCAAGTGTTAGTGCAGGCCAGGACTTCATACTAGTGTGTTCACTGTTCTGTGGTAAATATATTTTGACTTCTTCCAGGGTTCTAAGGACTCCTTAAACACTTCAGAAACATTTCTGAAAATTAGTTTGACGACGTTTAATTTTGTACTGAAAAGAAATAAATTCCCGTGAGAACAAAAAAATAAAGTACCTTAGATCTGAGGGCGACTTAATACAGAACAATTAAGTATGAATGGAGAAGGATCTGAGAATGACGGTATATATAAAACCTGTCACGGAGGTGGAAGTATTTTTCAAAGGGCTGTTTATGAGATGTCAGCAGGACAACTTTACACTAGCACATAAAAAGATTACCTGTGTTAAGGGTTTGGAAATATTGGCACATGTTTCAGAATATCGGCACATGCAAACCTTCGCGATCACAGCTCTACCTCCCACAATGCACCTGTGTTCAACTGTCTGAGCACCCAGACCCTCATATTAACAACAGTATACTGTGCAAACTGTTTAAATACAAATAAAAACAATAAAATATTTGTATATATTTTGTGTACCACCTATTCAACACACACTGACAACCCGAAGATGCTATTAAATGATACAGAAGTGATTGAAGTTAAAGAGACGTAGTCTAGTTTTGAAGCACATTTTTATTTTTTGCACGCATATATATTAGACTTATGTCAGACATGGGAACTGTTTATTAATCACAAAGAAGCTTTCAATTACAAAATACTGTCATTTCCAGAAAATGTGCAGTTTAAAGCTTACATTTCTTGGAACTTTTTGCATAGCAAACACATAGGACAAAGGAATGTTTATAAAACATTCTCCTTTTCTTGATAGGTCAGCAGGTCTGTGATTTCACGCATTTCCCAGAATGCTATGAGGCCTTATATGCAGATTCATATTCTTTCCATTGGTCGGTGTGGACGAACGAGCGGAACATCGGCGTGACTGCGTTTGCTGACAGCTCTTGTAATCACCGTATTTAACAAACTCTGAACAGGAGATGTATATGGCTGATAACAAACAACCACGCTTAAATCGTCCTAGCGGTCAACTGCTGCTAATCATAAATTATTAAAGACTGTAAACTTTAAAATAGACCGTCTAAATTGGAGCTTTCTCTGTGTGATTCAGCGCTAGGGGAAGCTAATCCCTTTGTCGACTCTCTGTGTGACTCATTCGACAGGGACATTAATATCAGGTTACGATTAATCTGAGATAATTTGTTGGATTTAAGGCAGTATGGGTTAAATGTAAGTGAACGAAGACAATTTTATTTTCTCAACTGGGCTACCTTAAATCCGTCCTTATCCGCCACCGATTGCTTATATGTTTTGTAGTTTCTCTGTTGTGGGGAACCAAAAATATCATTGACTCATTCTACAGGAAAAAAATATACCAAGTCGACATACGAATTATCCGATTAAAGTACAGCGACATGTCACTTTATTCTAGGATAAACGGTGCTGTGCCTTTCTGCACACGTGTTTTACAAACAAAAATTGCATAACCGCAATGTTTCGGAAGGAAACACACATGCTGTGAATATAAAGATTATTGTCAATAAGAAAACGCTGATGATGGATGCAATGTTTATCTTTATGAAGAAAAGTAATAGCTGACACTGGCTAAGATTCCTGGAAGGAACTGCAGGTGTACCCTTATGCAAAGGATGTAAATTTGCGAATTATCATCTGATGCTTTTACTTGTGCATTTACGTTTATCAGTGGACTTAATCAGTAGTAGAGTCAGAAACCATAGCCTAAGTGAGTGGTAGAAAATCGGATAAAATCACACTGGAGACACAGCTACATATATTTTTTCCGTTTTTAAATGGCACGTGGCATTACACAGAGAAAAAAATATGTATTTGTCTCCGAATAGGACTTTTACTCCGATTAATTAATTTATCGCGCACAACCATAGGCCTACCTGTCAGACACGATGGTTTTATCGGCCTGTATCGCTCGTTGTGGGCGATGATGCGGTGGGCCTGAGTTCCATCTGGGTGGTCCCAGGTACTAGGACCACCCAGGCCCACCTGTGCCGCTACGGTAGCACTCAATAATAACAGTAGAGTATTAATATAAGATCAAGACTTGTGGTGTGTATTGTAAGATATGAAGTAACAAAAGACACTGATAAAGTTACAAAACGTTACATAGAGTAAGAAAATAATCACGAATGCCATGGAATCATAAGACTTTGCAAACAGTCTACGGAAAGATTTCAAAAGGAAAGTTGTTTTGTTCTCAGGGGACCCGTCTAACTTCCTGGAATTTAAAATATCTCAAGGTTACTATCTTTGTCTTACGACGAAACGGGGCTATTGGAAAATGTGGGGAAAGTGCTCTTATAACTGTTTACAGAGCACTTATGTAATTGTTGACAGATTGCAGATTGTTTGCAGAACTGCCTTGGGTTAATATATACACAAGTCCAGTTAGTTCGATACAGCCATAGCGGGACTACGTTTAATGAAATAATATTGTCAGTCTCTGCCGGATCATCCAGCTTAGAGTGAGAATAAACACGTTGCTTAATTTTCAAACTGAAATATGAAAATAGCGCCACCTGCCGTATGTTAAGAATCGGCATTAGTATTACATTTCCGCAACACACGATATACTGCACCCTACTTGTCACAATAAATTAGACAATGTCAACAAATGACGAACAATTGGATCTAAACAAAATATTTTACAAAATATCAGTATAATACAATATAAAGGCTTCCTTATAAACACCACTTTCAAATGAGTTGTTAAAAGATCTTTATTTATTAATTTTTTACCTAAGGAGTTTATACTCATAGTGTAACATAGGTTCGACAATATATTTAGCAAAATATATTTGGCTTTTAGAAAATATAAATCGTTTAGTTAGAGTTCTGCTTTTTGCCCCGTCTGTTTGCTGTACTTTGTCGCCACCTCCTGGATAAGGCTAATAAAATCACTTTTCTCGATGCACGCGCGGCACACCTCGCCCCAGGAGTTCAGGATGTTTTTCAGCTCGGCCACTCTCAGCTTTGACAGGCCTTCTCTACTGAGGTCTGTCACCTGCTTTTCTGCAAAACAGAAGCAGGAGGTCAATTTGCATCGGCAAAAACAAACCTGCGGACGCAATCAGACTCGGTGTCTCAGACGTACCGTATGTGAGCTCGCAAATCTGACTGTCTCGCTTTTGCAGCCGCTCGCAGATTTTATTTACGGGCAGGTGGAAACTCATGGGCCGTGTGACTTCTCCTGTTATCTTTGTGGCCGCATCGCTGGTGGCTCCCAAGTAATAACACTGAAAGTAAAGAAAGGGCAGCAAAACCAAATCAAGACAAAACCAAGTGGAAATGCCTTCTCCCAAATCAGGAAATGGATCCGGTGTTCTCCAGGAAGCGTGAATGTGCCACACTGTGTAGAACCAGCACGTTGAATTCACAGAATTATCTCAGTGTATCTCACCATATCACAATTGATCCATACATGTTGATGAGTAATTAAATTATTTATATCTAGGGCCTGGGTGTCAGTTGGCCAGTCCGTGAGTGTGGTGCCATGCTGTTCCCCTGCGTAAGGAGAAGCAGGTTCTTCCCTCACCAGCCTGTTCTCCTTGCCGACGGCCTTCCCACAGGCCCTCAGAAGATCCTCTTCCACCACGGCAGGGGTCAGCTCCACATGCCTGGACATCAGTCCCTCGTATAGCCTACTCAGAAACCCTACGCACACTGCGGAAGCAGTGATGTTAACCACATGAGATTATTTTAGATGTTTTGAAAACAAGCTATGTTAGTAAAAGTAGTAATAATGCACATGGCAAAGGTGTGTAGTACTCTGTTACTACACATTATTCCATTAATATACCTATACATACAAGCAGATATCAAGCAGCTTTCAGTAATGGATATGAAGAAGTCGTATTATTCATGTTTTTATTTTATCATCTTAACTTTTTTATTAGAATAATTGTGGTGCTGACTGATTTGCTATAGTCACATGAAATACAAATGTTACCGGCGTCATATACATTCACTGGTTAATTAGCCACAGGCACCCAACGTCTGAAAAATAAATCCTATTAACTCCACATTGGCGTAATAGACCCGGTATTCCAAAGCCCAATTTAATTGCAATTTTCCTTTGTGTGTTTTTGTTTATACGACTGCATAAATATATCATCATAATATTGCTGTTGTGTTATGACGCTTCTCTGCAGGCCAAACAAATGAGGTTTAAATAAAACATACGCAAATCATCTGAAACTTCCAGGTTTTAATATTAAGTCAAACGACAATTCCATCTTTATTTTCAGGAATTGTGTTTCCGTGTGCGCTCGATCCTTATCTATAGTCAATTATTATAGTTTTCATATGATATTGTTGGTAATGCACCTTTTATTAATGTATCCGCTTCTGCGAGCACGTGCACATGCGTTTTCCTTCAGCTTTGTCCAAATTTGAGCAGCGTCCGCAAGACCAAGCAGGCAACTATTTTTACAGGCAGCCTTCACACGCACCGCAACCCTTCACGTCAAAGCTCACCTTCGCAATCCCCCGCACTAGAGAAGTCAAGCATGACACACAGAAATACAACCTCGGAAATGTTCACGAACAACAACGAAAACTTCATACTTAAAACCTGCGCAAAGTCTGCAGCTCTCCGTCTCATGCAGAACAAGTTACATTTTTCCATAAATAAATAACGCTGAATGGTATCTTTTATTGGTCGATACGTTCCTTTTCTATTGGTTCATCACACCAAATCGCTTAATGTAATGCGATAATTATTGGCCACGCTTCCTGCAGTTCAACTTCTTATTTGTTATATATTCTGTCACTCTTGGATTTTTCCTAATTTCATTGGATAAAATGTGGGACCTTCGTTTTCTATTGGTCGTACTAAAGCGACTGACTTCAACCTCTTCCGGTCGACTGCTGTACATTTACCAAAAGCATGGCCGCTATCGGCGTACACTTTGGTTACACATGTGCCTGTGTGGCAATATTTAAGGTAAGACGCCGGGCATTTAGATAGGTATACTCACACGGACAGCAGTTTATATGTGTATTTATCCGTGTAAGTAAGGATAGCGGTCGGCATGGGTTTAGGTGCTTGTGTAAGTAGCAGGCTTACAGACCGGCGGGGATCACGTTAGCAACTTCTTCTGCTTTGTAATGAATTGTACTGCGTTGTACGTTACATTTAAATGGATAATTTTATTTTAAATTTTGTTCTTGAGATAAATCGCATTTCATGTATTAATTTTAGGACGGAAGGGCGGATGTAGTCGCAAATGATGCCGGCGATCGAGTCACTCCTGTAGTTGTTGCCTTTCGGGACACTGAACAGGTATCACACGTTACCGCTTTGGCGTGCATGCATGTGCTTGTGTATGTACGTGTGCTTGTATGTATTTATGTGTGTATGTCGTTGACAGATTGTCGGAATAGCCGCGAAGCAAGGCAGAATAAGGAATGCCGCCAACACCGTCGTCAAAGTTAAGCAAATTTTGGGAAGAAGGTGAATAATTCTCATATGTATCCTTTGGATGGATGGATTTTTCTTATCTTTTGTATATTTAAATTTAATGGATACTGTTGTAACTGTAGTCTTGTCTTCGTCACCTCATAATTCCCCATTTAGTTTTGATGACCCAGAAGCACAGGCGCACAAAGCCGACAGCAAATGCCCGGTAAATGCTGCAAGCATCTCTACGTTTTGCCTGTGAAGAGCGTAACGTGGGAAATACTCGCTTATTGGATGTTTGTCTGTCGCTCTAAAGGTTGTCAACAAAGGTGACAAGCCAATGTATGAAATAGATGTTGGAGAGGCCACCAAATTTGTGTCACCTGAAGAAGTGGCAAAGTTAGTCTTCCACAAAATGAAAGGTAGGTGCTTTTAAAAGGGAAACGTAGATTTAGATTCGAGTAAATTTACTTATTGTTTTGTATATGGGGTATTTGGGGAAACTGTTATTGGTAAGTAAAATGTGGAAGTTATTTCATTTTTAATTCATTCGGTTTCTGTTGTTACCTGTCTTGCTGAAGAAACGGCCCAGTCTGCTTTGGGGTCTGATGTCAGTGATGCTGTCATCACTGTGCCTTTTGAGTTTGGAGAGATGCAAAAGAATGCCCTCCGGTAAGCTGGAAACGACAAGCTCTGCTACAGTGACCCAGCGGGGGGTGCAGACGCATCGCCCACCTAAGAAGGCATTAAAGTTTTTTTCTTTATCCTTTAGGCTGGCTGCAGAAGATGCCGGATTCAATGTTCTCAGGCTGATTCATGAGCCTTCTGCAGCCTTGCTGGCTTATGGCATCGGCCAAGACTCGCCCACTGGAAAGAGGTAAACTTCAGTGTTCAAGTTTTAAAAAGCATAATGCTCTTGTCCTGTGCTGAATTTAAGGGTTGACGTTTTTCCAAACATTTACATATAGTCGGTGTAGTCAGTTGTGTGTCTTGTCCTCTGGGTTCAGCTAGCAGAGTTCTTAAAATCCCCCACAGCCACGTGATGGTGTACAAACTGGGAGGGACGTCCCTGACGGTGACGGTGATGGAGGTGAACAGCGGGCTGTACAGAGTCCTGGCCACCCACACTGACCATAGCACTGGTGGGGAAAGCTTCACTCGAACCCTGGCCCAGTATCTCGCTGCAGAATTTAAAAAGTAAGACACTCTCATTCTTTTTTTTTTTCCTTTCTGTTTGGATGTTTGATGAATCTGCGACTTCAAATTGATCTTTGTTCGTGTGTCTGCCCTCTGGACTGGCATCCTGTCCAGGGTGCCCCCTGCCTTGTGTCCTGTACTCAGGGGTGGATTAACGCACAGGCTAGATATGGCTTAAGCCTAGGGGCCCCACATGTGTCAGCCTGCAAGGGGGCCCCCATTGGCGCGGAGGGGGGTGGGGTTGGGGGGCCCCACAGACTACTGTAGCCTAGGGGCCTCTGTACACCTTAATCCACCCCTGCCTGTACTTATTGAGGGTTTATTATTCAGGGTCACTGTCATTGTACTGGATTAGGGGTTATGGAAGATGGTTGGATGGCTATTAATAGTCAGAGATGGGAAGTTCAGGTCCAGAAAGGAAAAATCCAGACCAAGATTTTGTTCCAACCCACCAGCTGAATACTCCTTCACTATGACTCTTTAGATTCAACTAGTTGGTTGAAACAAAATCTTGGTCTGGATTTTTACTTCCTGGACCTGAACTTTCCACCTCTGTTAATCCAGCAGCCACACTGCGGACCTTCACCAGCCAAGAAGTCTGGCCATGACCTCCTGACCAACACGTTACTCTCCCCTTGTTTACTGAGAAGCTCTCTCCCTTCCCTCTCTGACACGAGGACCTTCAAGCAGGACGTGACGGGAAACCCCAGAGCCATGATGAAGCTGATGAACAGCGCCGACGTGGCAAAACACACCCTCTCCACGCTGGGCAGCTCCAACTGCTTTGTGGACTCGCTGTACGATGGCATGGATTTCGAATGCAATGTGTCCAGGTGTGTGTCTCACGGAAGGTGTCGGGGAAGGAGCGGGGGGCGGAGCCAGTTACCGTGTCACCAACTCCATGTCCTGCCTCTTTGCGGTTCCTTACAGGGCCAGGTTCGAGCTCCTGTGTTCCTCCCTTTTTAATAAGAGCATCTTGCCCATCAAAACCCTTTTGGAGCAAGTGGGTCTTTCCACAAGTGACATCAACAAGGTGCGATGGAGAACCAATTACAACATTTTAAATTCTCTCTGTGGCCTTTTTATTAGGGACACCTGCTTGTTAAAGGAAACAGCATGTGGCTGCAGCTGAACATGTACAGCACACAGACAGGGCCTAGAGGTTCAGCTACTGTTTGGCTAAACATTACAACAGCTCAGATGTTTAGTCTATGCAAAGTACAACAGTGATGTGCAGAATGGATTCTTGCCTGCAGACCCTTGAAGTGGGCCTGCAGGCAAAAGCGCTTCCTGGCTGATACTAGCTATGTGTAGCCAATAAAGCGGGTCCTACCCAGAGGTAGCCAGGCGTACCTAATGAAGTGGCCACTTTATGTTTAACATGCTTATTACCTGTATCGTGAATTACAGAATGAAACTGAACCATCTGTATGTCTCATTGCATCTAACCATACCCCTCCATTGCCACCAGGTGGTGCTGTGTGGGGGGTCTGCTCGCATCCCCAAACTCCAGCAGATGATCCGGGACATCTTCCCTGACGTGGAGCTCCTCAACTCCATCCCCACGGACGAGGTGATCCCTGTGGGTGCAGCCATTGAGGCGGGCATCTTGGTGGGCAGGGACACGTCCTCCCTGGATGAGGACTCCATCACGGTGGACTGCTGTGCCAAGGACATCCTGGTCAAGGTGAGGAGGTGACGTCGAGCTCATGACTTGGGTCAGAATGAACTGTATCCTGCTTCTGTGACATGCTTATCATCTGATACTAATTAGAAAGAACAGGGAAGTTTTATAATGGGATTAAAAACAAATTTCCTTTGATATTTAGAGTAGTCTGCTTTCAGTGCATCTCCTAATGTCCATCTCATTAAATTAAACATTAAACATTTTTCCACTAATGTTATGTATTCATTGCATTTTGTGGAAATTGATTAGTATGTTTACTTGATTTATGACCCGCATTACCCCTCCCCTCCTCTAGGAGGCGGATGAGTTTGGTGCAGATGTGTACACGGTGGTGTTCCCCTCGGGCACGCCCCTCCCTGCCCGCCGACAGCACACCCTGCAGGGCCCAGGAAGCCTGTCTTCCATCTGCCTGGAGCTGTACCAATCGAATGGCCAGAACTGCACCCCCCAGGAGAAAGTGGCAGATGTAGGTTTTGACTTAACGTCGCACCCGTAGCCAAAAGCAGGGAGTGCATGTGAATTTGTGTGTATATAGTGTATAGATGTACTAAGCTGGTGTGTAGTGGGTTCAGGATCTGTGCCCGTTTCCGGATGGCTATTGGTTCAAATCCCATGGCTGGTAGGTAGAGTGTTCATATCTCCACTGGACCGTTAGGCAAAGCCCTTCTGGCTGACCCTACTGTCTGATCCTCCAGTCACTTTCGATAAAAGCACCTGCTAAATGAATGTAGTAATAATGTAATTAAATAAGGCAAAGTCACAGTGAGAAGGAAATGGCTTGCCTGTTCGTGCCGCTAGTGGTTTTTAATTATTATTTTTTTTTATTCAAATATACCCCTGAAAGATCTGCAACTGCCTGTATGTGTTGGATTTCTCTGTTACCGAGTATGTTTGTTTATTTCTAGATTGTCCTCGGGAACCTAGAGCCGAAAGACGACCCCTGGGACATTGTTACGGTCGTTACCATGAAAAGGTGTGGTGCCGTCGTGTGGCCCTTTGGTACCGATTTCCACTGCGGACACCCAGCACACCAGGCCCTGCTTCGGGTGACATCCCTCTACTCTTGTCCCCGCCTCCACAGGGACGGGTCCTTGCACGTGACTTGCACAGAGCAGGAGAGCGGCAGATCCGAAGCGGTCACCATCGCGGTTGCTTCTTGAGAGTGGTCCTCCTGTGTCCTCTGTGCAGGTGGTGGATACGACCATCACCATCATTTTCAGCTGTCAGGCCGACCCAGCAAACATTGTTTGGCCTCATCTGGGCATCGTGACAGGGAACTCCTACTGTATTTAATAAATATTCCCATTTTTCAGTAATGTTTGTGCTGCACTGTTTGACACATGCAAATGCCTAATATGTAGGACTGAATGTGTTTGGCTGTCTTGGGTAAATGGCTGTTTGTGACCCAAATCTGAAAAGGTTCTGATGATTTTTTTTTTTTATTGACCTTCGTATCGCTGGCAGCTGATTAATTCATCAATTTCTGGCATTTCTTGCTCCTAGTCCGTTGCCTTTGCTCATTTTTAGATCCTTAATTGCTTACTTTTGGTTTTGAAGCGTCAGAATGTAAATAATTCAGAAGGTTATAAATGTCATGTTTGCGTAACAGTGTCTCTGCACCAGCCCCTATTGCATACTGGGTTAATCCCTCCCCTGCAGAAGGCTGGCAGCTGTAACCCGAATTCAGCTGCTAGTGCAGAGAACAGAACGAACTAACAAATAAAAGGGGGACACCTGCCCCATTGAGTGCGGCTGGATCTTCAGAGATGGATGAAGCAGCACGACTTTAAAAGAAAAAAAGAAAAAAAAGAGTACAGAAACAGATGAATCCTTCGGTTTAGATCTGAGAAATGCATTTAATTAAGTAGTAATTAAAATTCTTACAATCCTTGTTTTGTGCAATTTCCATGAGGTAAAAAGTTAACATTGATAATATCATACTGTTATCATTCAATTTTAATTAGTCCAGCAGATGTTAAATGCATTGTAAACATTGAATTTTAACTGTGCAAGATACTGTTGTGCGAATACAATGGATGTTCCCTGAAGGCCCATCTTAGTGTCAGGTATTAAAATTCATTAATGGGTCCGTAGTTATCTACCGAGGTGTCCTAGAGGCTGCCCGTCTGATTGCCTGTCTTAAAAAGAGATTCTCCTGCGGCCAGTCTTTTGTACAATTCCTTCAGGTCCTCTAGCTGAGGGGGGTTTGATTCAGGCGTTGGGGGGACTTCAAAATCGGACGAGACTTGGGAATCTGGCTTTTCTCCCTCGGTCGCCGTCGGCGTGAAACATGCATCCCTGGGCTCTCTGGAGTGGCTGGTAAGCCCAGCGTCTCCCTGTACGTTTTCCGGCGGGCGGATAAGGATGGTGTCCACCTGGCTGTTGATACCTGGGTCTGAGATGTGGGTGGACTGAGATGAGAAGTGGGAGGAGTCATCGTCCGAGTCGCTGAAGAGTCTGGGAGACTGCGAGGCCCCCATTTCCACCCGTCGTGTCTGGCTGCTTTCTAGGCTCTCGTCCGTCAGCTCCGGGTCGACTGAGAAAAACGCCTCCCACGTGGGGGGCTTTGATCCAAGATGGCCGCCGTCTGTTCCGTTTGGCTCCTTGTGGGTGCCACTCGACGACTTGTCTGAGGTTTGGCTTGCCGGTTCACCTCCTTCATCTTCGCTGTCTTCCTCCTCGTCGTTCGATTCCGTGCAGTCCAGGAAGTTCTCATTTAGCAGGCCGGCCGTGTTCGTGGGTTCAGGGTCCGTCATAGGGACCACCCTCTCTGGGACCGGTGACCCGTCTTTTTCAGGGGGGTGTTTACCTGGCACCTTCCTGCGGCGGGGAGCCAAATCCTCGTCGTCAAATAAATCACACTCGCTGTCAGAGTCTGGGGAACAGAGACAGGGATTCAAATACTTCCATCTATCCATTTCCCATATACCCACTTAGCCTAGGCAGGGTTAGAAAGGGACCCTCATGAAGAGGATGCCAATCAAATTTTATTTATTAGGTTTTTCCAAATGTCTAAAAATGTGGGTTTCAAACCTGAAGAGATGGATTCAGGCTGTTTGGACAAACTACTGGATTCATAGGATTTAAAGCTATGTTGGACAACTAGGTAACCATTCCTAAGTAAATCTCACTGCCACCAAGACTCAGTACCAGTGCCTCACTTGAGTGGCCAGTGAAACCGTTAGCTGATTGGCCAACTCCTCAGCCAATAGTGACAGTAGGAGCAGAGCTGGTAATTAATGTCCGACATGCCATGAGGCACAACCCTTGAAATGTAGCCTTCCTTTAAGGACGTAACGGCCAGCCTGTTTCTCTGTCTGCCTCTGTAAACTAAACTCTGTATCTGTATTGTGATCCCTGCACTTTATGCTATTCAAAGTTTTGATCATAAGCAGTTTTGTTTATGAAGCCTTTCTCTCATCATATATTGTCCTCTGCCTTGACAGTGTCACCTCACTGAACAGTTAAATACTGCCAGACACAGGGGCAGGAAACCCTAACCCTGGAGTGCGGGTGTGCGGCAGGTTTTCTATCCTACCTGATGAGTTACTCTCTGCCTGGGATCAGGCATGGCTCATCAGAGATCAATTAGGATGGAAAACCTGCCTGAGCCTGGATACTGGCACTCTAGGGTCAGGGTTGCCCACCCTTGGACATTAACATGCAGGTGCGCTGTTTTGATGCGTCTATAAATACAGGCCTCCTGCCCACTATACCTTTTGTTATTTGTTCCACTTTCGATCTTTTAAGGGTTCCCAGAGGTTTGTACACCACTAATCCACGTCCACAGTGCTCTCTGCACATCGGTTTTAATCTGAAAGGGCACAGAAATTGATCATGACTGGATGGATAGATGTTGAATTACAGCCTCCTTAATTTCTGAGTGCAGTTTACAAAAAAAGGGTCACTGCTTGGCTTTGGTGGGCCAGTGACGCGATTCACTTACATCTGTTGAACTTCCTGTAGAGTTTTTCCATACGGGATAACGTTCGGATATATGTTGACGGGGCAAATGTAGGACATGAAATCTTTGATCTGGCAAGATAATCCGCAAACAGGTGAAGAGGAAATGAGCACGCGCGGTTTTATTTTTTCCGATTAAAGTATCATTCATTGTACGTCATTCAGGACATAAAACTGGGCCAAGCGGTTAGCGAGCCGGTGTCAGCGTGCAGATATTTTCCTCACCTCCGAGTATGAGGAGTGAAAGGAGAAGCAGGCTCGGTAAGATGTCGGCCCCGTTCTGAAAGTATATCGCACATCAGCAAAGTAATGTCACCTTCCTCTGATCCCGGAAAAACTACACGTGTCACGAACAGGGTAACCTGACTGACAGACACTTTGTTTTTACACGCATAGTGACATCAGCTGTTAAGTTACCCTGAAACATTACAGGAAATGCGCTAAGCTGTGCAGCTTTCGTTGGACTACGTCTGCAGAGGAATAACATCTTGAGATCCATCCTCACTTGACAATTACGGCAGTTTTATTGGTCTGCTCTCCAAACCACATGGTTGAGGGCTTGACGCTTATGACGTGTAGCGAAGCTCCGTCCGGGGCTTTCATGCCACAAGGCAGCCTGCTGCCTCTGATATACTCCTCACCCTAAAATAAAAATGGAAATAAGGCACACTTCACAGCTGAATTTCAGTTTACCAATGCCAGCGTAACACATAGTAGACATTCGTCAAAAGACCGACTTGTTACATGACTTCCGATACCACGGTACGCGATGACAGCGGACACACCCCCACCTCGGCTAATCTGCATGCGTGGATCTGCGTGTCGCGGCGCGTGGTCACGTGACACAGCATTTCGGGCATCCCTGCGAACACGCGCGTGCTCCTCACGTGAACCTGCAGAAGAGGGGCGGATTTAAAAAGGCACACGTGGACGCGGTGGGGGCACGCTGTGCATGCAGGTTAAATTAGTAAGACATCCAGCTGCACATGCTCACCTGACACCCGAACTCCTCGGAGAGGTTTACGAAGAGGTACTCGTACCCGTAGGCGATTTTACAGTTGAGCCACACCACGTGGTTCGGGCTGATGGCGATCCACTCCCTCACCAGCTCCCGTATGCCATCTAAGCAAGCTTCCTGGGCGACACCGAGCAGGGCATGATGCAGGTTAGCTTAGCGCTTCTGGGACTGCAGGGCCCGTTTCAGCTGAGATTAGGGACGGAACTTACCCTGCTTGGTATCTGGAAGAACCGGGGCTCGCAAAACGTCGTGTCCAGGTAAACGCTCTGAACATCCTTTATCCTGGCGGCAGTGAAACACACACCGCGTAAGGAAAACGGCGGCAGGCCGACGCGGGCTAGCGGCGATTCGAGGAAACCGTACCGGCCGCCAACGTGCAAAGACTCGATCCGGGCTGCCTCCCCCTGGGCCAGCCTGAAGTCCCCGGTGTACAGCACCGTGCCACGGTCCCCTTCTATCAAAAACCTAGACCGGGGAAACACATGGGAAACATAATACAATACACATATAATACAACTTAAAAGAACAAGTAGGCCCACTATACAACATTGGAGTAGGCCTACCACATCTTTTTCTGTTTGTAGTCTTTTAAGGAAAATGTTTCCCGTATGCTCATGTGGATTTTTTTGTGTGTTTTAAAAGTAAAGTGCTGTTTTTATACGTACATGACAGATCCAGGGCAGTGTCCAGCTGGAATCAGTGTTACCAGAATGTCCTCTTTCTAGCAGGTAAAATAATCAATTATTCAGGTATATACAGCTTTGGTCGCTGGTCACTTTAATAACACTTCTTTACACATTAGTAATATTGCACACATCCCCTTAGTAATCATGAACATATAATTACCTCTCCTGAGATTTCATCAACCAGAGATATTTGAGTTGGGTCTTCCACCTCAAGAGCAACCTGGTATAAACGGCAGTAAGTACAAACCAGTTATTATCCCGATTCGTAAAAACTGCCTCCTTTTTCGAACACCACGTGGTCGTAATAGTTTGACAATCTTGTGATCTTATGATTATAAATGATTTGTATAGCTACTTACAACGTGGTTTTCCCAGAATCCATATTTTGGATTGCTTAGCAAAATCTCCTTTGTCACAGGCGAACAGTACAATTTGACTGTCAAACTAGAACATAGATACATATTATGCGTGCGTCAGTGAAAACATTCACAGATAAGAGTCATGAAGCATTATCTGACAGCCAGATGAACATCGATTTCTGTGTTAAACTACTGTTAAAGTAAAAAGTGCAAACGTTCATCGACAGCACCCTGTAAGCAAACATCACATCATACCTAAGCTTTAGTTTCCTTCTCAGGGCCGTTGCCTTCAGTCCCTTCATATGATCTGTGGAATTGTTAGATTAAGTTTACAAGGACTTGATCGAAAAACTTAGCAGAATTACTAGAGTGGGTTGCTAGCAAAACAGCAATCAACCATTTGAACTAAAACGACTCCTTTCGGTTTCTTTAACTTCCCGCCTGGTTTTCAGGCGTAAGGATGAGATACTGATAAATCTGTGCCCAGCCAAAATATCCAACGCTCTGTTGTCTAGTTTGTGATCCGGTCCTTACCTTTGTGGCAGTGGGATAAAAAATAGGCTCTGGCATGTAGATTTTGTTTATCGAAACGGTCCAGGGAAATATTGGGATATTCTTTCATGCGGCCGCCAAATGAGCTCATTTTGAGTAATCAGCAGTCTGATGTTAGACTGGACACGAAGTCCTAGAAAAAAGCGACATTTATTGCGGGCTGGTAACCATTTTGTAACCGCCCCCTTCTCATTTATGATCAGCGCGGAATCGACGCAGTAAACACAAAGCAGTACGCCATCTAGTGGATTGAAGGCTGTGTTACGATTATGGTCAGATGGTATTATTTAACACGGACAATACTGATGAACCTCGTATTACAAGTGAATGCATTTTCAGTGCGTGAAGGAGCGCCTGAAAACCCCGGGAAAGCACTCAGTAGGCCGAGGTACTGCGTCACTTCCTGTTTTGGCGTTAGCGTCGCTAGGAGACACCGGAGCAGATGTTTCTATGCGACGATAGTATTCAGAGAACGGTTTTCGGGCTCTGTTAGTTGGACATATACTTCATTTCCTAATAAACGTGAGCTATAAAGTAAGCATTATACACTGCATAACGACCAGCCTAATAAAATTTCTGAAAATACACGTAGCATGGTGGTCAGCATGCACAAGCGTTAGTTAAAGGAAACAGTATTTACGCTGTAATGAACCAAGGGAGTGCTGTCGACCATTGAACCATTTATGTCGTTCTGTGTTTCACATTGTGCCTCAGGAAAAAATGGCTTGTGCGTCATGTATCGATGCTGACGGGATCCCCAGAACCATTACACGGGCGAAGCGATGGACAGATGAAGTAGAGAATCTGTACAGATTCCAACAGGCTGGATACAGGGATGAACAGGAGTACAAGCAAGTCAAACGGGTCGAGCTGGTAAAGACTATTAAAACTGTTTAAACTGATGGCCAGTCTGAATAGAGCGGGTCAATTTTTAATTAAAATGTGATATATATCAATGTTTTAATCCTACTTGTATTAATTGCAGGTTGATCGTTGGCCCGAGACCGGATTCGTGAAAAAGCTGCAGCGTCGGGACAATACGTTTTACTATTATAATAGAAAGAGAGAATGTGACGACAAGGAGGTCCACAAAGTGAAAGTTTATGTTTACTGACCATTGCGGCCTTTTATAACCATTTTAATGCCTAACCCAATGATGAACTATAGTGCACAATTAAGAACTGGGTTGTTGTAGCACTGAGAGCACCATAATGTACGTGCTATCCTATTTATTTAGATAATAGTGGTTCAAGTATGCACAAATATTTATACAGTACCAATCAGAAGTGTGGACACACCTACAGAACATAATTTTTCCCCCCAAGAAACTAATGACACCTTTCGGTTGGAAAAGCAGGTTGATGTCTAGTTTTGCTGATTTATCACATTTTACCTTCTGACAGGAATCTTCTTTATTGCTTGTACTCTATGCCCCTTCTGTAATTTAAACCTGGGCATGTTTGATAGTGAAGGTAAATACTATTAAAGCAGTTTGCATATGTTTGCATATGATACTATTTGACCTTGTGACTTTACTGCATCGATTATAGGCAACTGCATGATTTGTTATATCTTCTGTACCTAGTTCTCTGTTTCTCGATGAAAGGCTTCTGCCTTTTTTAATGGGACTTCAGTCCTGCTTCTAGGAGCCTGTTATGAATTGTCCTAGCAGTGCACTTCACACCTGCACTGAATGTCTCCCATTCTTTTTGAAGGTCACTTTGTGTCATCCTCTGATTCATGAGGCACTGTAGGATAAATTGATGGGCATCTCAGGCATTAGAAAGTTGCTTCCACCTTCTATCTGGCTGGTTACTGGTCGTTCCCAGTGTCTCCTGCTTCACCATATTCTTGTGTACTGCTATCTTAGAAATTATGAGCCTGGAAGCAGCCTGACGCTCAGTGTAGCCTCCAGCCAGCAGGACCATGATTAAACCAAGATTTAAAAAGACAGATTTTTAAACAAATACTTTTTTCCAGAGCTTTCTCTGTGTGTGTGTGTGTGTGTGTGTGTGTGTGTGTGTGTGTGTGTATAAATACGCACATTTTTTTTTTACAGTATTCTTGGGATACAGACTAGAACAAGGTATCCCATATATGGGTAGTTATATTTGATAAATGTGGTTTCAGAATCTCCACAGTGACACCTGTGCTTATTCATTTTTAATAAAATTTAAGGTCGCCAGATAGCACCTGAACATAACCGGTCATGAAAAACTCACAAGTATGTCTGTAAAAGGTCAAGATCAAGACAAAGATCAAAGATATTTGTCTAAATTTTTCTTCAGTTTCTGTCTCTGCTTGTGGTCTGGGCCATGTGAAAGCCAGTGCCGCTCACCTGTCAGTGATGAAGAGCTGAGAGGGGACACCCCCCACCACAATCTGCTCTTTGTTTTCATCACCTCGCCAATCATGCGCCGCTATCCAGAGTAGCTAGGTCTGAAAGCCAGGGGTCTTTCTCAATTTGCATGCTTGACCATACTTGCCTTCTCATGTCCCTGTTTAACATCATCTTCCATCACCGAAGTCCAGTTCTAATACTCAAGAGGACGGCAAAAATCCGTGAATGTCATTCTTGCCCCAAATACCAACGATACATTGGTTGCATCCTCGCCAAACTTGACCAATCCCATGATTCATTGTATCCCAAGTTCATTCTTGGGAGGTAAGTTAGCAAGACCGAGCTTCTTCAGACCGCAAGTATGATTATGTGTTATTGGTATTGAGAAACATCACAGATCTAATCATTTCTATAGCAACTTACTTCTTACCAAATGGACATACAATCTGATTGGGTGTTTAGTGTGCCAAATCCGACAACCTAATCCAATCGTATAGGGCCTCAACCTAACATTAAAAGCCAGCTGCTAGGAATACATCAATCTGCAGGGACTTTAACTGTTTCGAAATAGGCGAAATGGATTGCTAAACACCTGGATAAGATAGACAAAATTATAGTCAGTTGTTAATGGAGATTATTGCTGACAGTTATTTGAACACAACAGTCGTTGTCAAAAAGTGTTAACAAATAAAATATGGACTGATGGTTTCTGTTATTAATCCTGCAGCTGTGTTGATTATTTAGTAAACTAAATAATCTTCTGAGAAACGTGAAAATTTTGTTGCATAGATGCTGAATTAAGTTACAATTTAGTTACAATTAATGTTAAAATGCATCAATGTAACTTGACATCTTCCCGAATCCATGATTACGCCTGGAAAATACTCTGGCGTAGTAACACGCTTTGCTACATCGTGTGCTTCCCAAAGAGATACTATGTATCACGTTGCAAACTTGTCCAGTGTTTAACTAGTGTAGTATTTATATGATGCTTTTGGGTATTTTCAGGCCGCTATAGGACTGAGTTGCGATATTCACATATGAATTAATTATCTATGGAAGACGGTTCAGCTGACGTTTTAACAGCTGACTGTTATTTGACTTTTGATAGACCTCTGTGCCTGCTTTCCGTTTCGGCTTCGGGAAATTAGAAAAACAGGACATACTAAAACAGGCAAAGGACTGCAGGTTGGAGGACTAACTTCCGCCGGTTTGTCCCTTTGGACAAAATTAAGCGTCTGTTAAATTTGTGTAAACGTATTTCACTTTTTAATTCTTCCTAAACAAAACCAGCGGTACTATTAACTGACATCAAAGCAGTAGTCGCAGTGCATGTTTACTGATTTCTTAGCAAGATTCCCCATCCTATATTTTAAAAAGTTTATTCAGGTTTACTGCACCCACCAGGTCTCTGTCGGAGGTGTAATACAATGTCCGACACAGACCTCTCTTGGGTACCAATACTAGCCGACATAAACCGCTTTACATCTCCGAAGACAGATTCTACCTGTAATTACACTAAATAGTCCTACAGGTATTCAGAATGAATTGTCATATTCACATATTAACATATATCGGTTTATATCGACGTGTTTATTGTTATCTTCATGATTATTGTTGTTGCTTTTGTTATGAGATTGTATTTTAATTTTTGTTTGCCGAATAATTTATTTGGGGACTCGTGTGTTCCGGAAAGTAGGCCAATTTATTACACTTAGTTGGTTACTGGAGGACTTTGGGTCTGTTCTCAAGGTGTGTTAATATAACTGAAACTATAACGTAAATGTTTTGGTTAAAAGAAAATAATGCGATTGATATTTTAATCTCCAAATTCATGGACTCTTCGTGACCAGTGTCGCAGAATTATATGTTTGTATTACTATTTGTTATCTATATAGGCCTATGTTCAATCACCATGCATTCTATTGTGCTAATACGGTATTCATGATCATATTATGGCGTTTAGACTCATACGTTGACTAATATCCTCTTTTACGGTGTAAAGGATTCATCGACGTAATAAACATAATTCATGTACAATTATCTCAAACTCACATGCTTACACCATTTACACCTGTTCAATGGGCCTCTTTCCAAGCAATTAAGCGCCTAGCATCTGACATGATATTTTCTCTGTTATAAGTGACAGCATAATAAAAAAAAATTCTAATGATGAATTTAATGCTGTGGATATAATCTTAATCGGAAATGGTTTTAATGGTTTTATGTATGGCATGTAGTTTTGCCTATAGACTCATTTGTATAGCCTATTGTTGTAAACTGCATTTTTCGCACAATTGCATTTCTTTTTGCGGACCCGTTTTGCATCTGAATATTCTTCGGTTTATTTACTAGTATATTAATAAGCAAAATGACATCTTTCAGTGCGCTTGCCCTGACCAGATGACGAATTACGTCACACGAATCGCTGTGAAAAGCCGGTGGATCTGAGCGCAGTCTGAAGGGGCACAGGCTGGGAGGGAGGAAAGCACACGGCGAAAGACACATTTAAAAATAAGCAGTGGCGAAACCACATGTAAACGCGACGCGGATCTTCGCCTGGAGGACCCGCAGGTTATCGTACGAGACACGGAAGTGGGGAGACGCTGCGAGCCGCGTTGGTTTCATCACCGCGATGCCTTCCTCCGCCTGGCTTCGCTGTGTCCTCCTCATCATCGGCTCGCTTCGGCGGGTATCCACAACCGGTGATCTGCCTCAGTGCCAGGAGGTAAAAAGCCATCGACTGTGTGCGAATCCGGTCCGTATATAAGCAGCACCGACGTGTTATTGTTTATTTGGACATGCTGAAGTAGTAAGGATGGGCTGTTAGATTTCACTGCAAGCCTTTTTTTTTTACCTTTTGAGACAACCATGGTTAATGGCAAAATATTTATAATACTCTACTAGTCCATTTTCTTAATGTTTTAAATCAAAGCGCCTTCATTAAATTACACATATAACATATCGTATATTAATAAATCTCACAGGGCCTCATATTTGCAAAAATTAGTAATATCGAATTACATTTTATACCAAAAATAGTACATTCGTCAATACGTGGAGATCAATCCTAATAGTATAGTATGAGTCACACTTGTACAGTTGAGACAGGCGGCAGAAATCAGCAGACGCCGCGAGACGCCAGTCCTTGGAGCCCCTTGATGTACTTGGACTGTTTGTTCCAGTTTTAGTGCTGTATTCTGAAAACTGAAATTATGTAATAAACAATTACATCGAGTAACAGTATCAGCATAAACGGTGTTATTTTCCAACCTTACCCCCGTTATGGCTAATGTTTGCATCAAAGCTTTACTGTACGTGTCTTAAAATGTGAAGCGTCATCAATTTAAATAACGAATAAAATACCGACCATTAACAGAGATCGGACCATTGTTTGGCAGCGACCTCAGATGCAATTGAATCGCGTGTTTATGTATTTCTCAGAGAAAACCTTTTTATAAAATACTTAAGTGCTGTGTTGTGGTTCTTTCTCGTGAACACTCAGGAGAAATGTATACAAAAATCATATTCCTTTATTTCCGCTAGGGAATTAAAGTACATTTTCAAAAAGACAAGGACAATTTCCGACTTTGTCAAACATCTAGGAGATTTTTGTTTCATCGTGCTGAATAGCATAGCGCACACATTAACCCCAGGTCCTCTGAGCTGTTGACTCGTCGTATTTACTCTTTGCTGCGCTTGATAGTGTTTCCGTTCGCCGGTCCCCTGCATACTGGGGGCACACATGCTTCATTAACCCAGGTGCTGCCTCCATCCCATCAGCCGTTGCCATGACGCTGGACTCCCATGATTTACCATCTCGAAGGGGTCTCGGTGCCAGGCAACGTGCGCTAATCTCGTCAATCACTCCGAGTCCCAGCCTGATAAGCCGTAAACCCCACTTAGATGTCCCTTATACTAGTGTGTAGACTGCTCTTGTAAGAATACATTGTTTACATCAATATTGTTGTTGCCATTTAGGAGTCAGGACGCTCATGTGTAAAATAATGATAATGAATTTAAAGTAGACCTAAATTTGCACAATTGTATGTCGATTTCTGCCAAGATTGTATGTCATGTTTTTTCAGTTTAATGGGGTTTGTACCTATGTCCTGGTTACATAGGCCTGCACTACTAAATAATTAACATGCGTGAGTTTTCAAACTACAGTTTTTCAGATAAGTGTCTAATTCAGCTACTGGTTGATTGCCACATATAATCTTAAAACGTAAAAAAAAATAATCATAGAACCAGTTACATAGTAATGATGTTTGTAATCCTTGCATATTACATACATGCGATATTACATACATATTACATACATACATACATTTTGGAATCAAATAGGCCTATCTTTTCTGTAGGTTATGACGCGGCTCCTCTTTAAGTGTTTGTATAAAGAGGAAGCCTCGGTTTATCGAGGATTAATGCTACTTTTCCAGACAAAATTTGCCTCTGAAAAATGTGCAGTCCAGTAAACAAAACCCGATTCCATCTTGGCATTGCGAAAGCTGGTCATACATACGATGTTTTTTGTGTTATTTGGTGCTGACATGAAATACCCCCCCCTGTTATTTGAAGCCGAGAGCTGTTTAACATGACAAAACAGAAGCACATGCTTATCTCTACAGCTGCACGTCCTCTGGGTCTGTTTTCCCCCGAAACCTTTGTCACATTAGCAGGTGAACACATTACTAACATCTATATGATAATAATGGTTTTGAATAACTATATTCAGCCCTATCTGTTCTAATAATTACCATCTGAGCTGTGAACTGCTCTGCACTCTCCATCAATGTTTCCCTCGTTTTTCTCCTCCCCGTTTCTGTCGATGTACTTTACAGAAATTAATATGTATCAAATCAGAGAGATCGGTAGATCTATAGTATTGGTTCTCCAGTTTGATGCATGCAGTTCGTTATTGCTATTACAACTCACTCTGGCTGTCGGACCAAACCCCTGAAATAGGATCATTTAACAGCTACACAATTCTGTGAAAGGGGCTACCTTCTAGTAGCCCACCTTCTGTATATACACCCTTCTTCCATTACTAATCATGTTATTTATTTTACATTCGCATTGAATCACCTTTATGTGGGGTGTCTTACACTATTTATAAAACGGTGACCTATTTATAGCGGCGAAGTAGTAAATCCAGTCAAACGGTTGCACCATCTGTGCTTCTGCTCTCTCACTGTATCACCAGTTTATTTTTTTGTCGTTTATATCTTGCCCACGCATTTGGCATCTGGCACTCCTTTGCTTTGAATTTTTCCTGTAAAAAATATGTATAGTTTGTATGGAGAGATGATGTCTTGCTGTATACGACTGTCACACTGACAGCCTGCCTCTTCCCGTCCACCATGGACCTCCATTCTCTTTAGGGAAAGGCAGATTCGTCTCATGTATGCTTGGCAATCGTCTCTACTTTAGTCTCCCATTTCTCCTGTGGGTGGACGGGGCACTTTATGGTTTCCCTGAAAATAATCCTGGACATTGTACTCTGGAAAAGGAAGTAAATGGGCTTCCCTGCTTCACCTCAGCTGGGTCGTGTTTCATTATTGATCAGTCGTCGTGCTGATGCTGGCTGGCAGTGGGACGTGCTAATGAATTAGCTTTGTGATTGTAGCTTTAGGATATGTGCTGGAGTCCAGCACCTTCAGGGTCTGATATGAAAAGGGTGACATGAATCTAGTACGTGTGTCTACATGCAAGTACTTGAGAGATTCTGCCTTTATAAAATCTTGATTCTTTTAAGAGTTTTTGTAATTAAAAGCCCTTTATCAGATAAAACGTCATGTAAGCACTGCAAGCTCCTTCCCTCCTTTCCCCTGCTTTTAACTAAAAATAAGCCCCTTTAAATGACCAGATTTTGCTTTTTAAGCTTAGCATAGGATGTGCCACAGGCTTCTGTGATTTAACTGGGATCTAAAGTAGGCTGAGGTCTAGCGAATAGGGTGAGGGGGTGTGAATTAGGCCACATGTAGTCGACAGCCGTGCTTCTGGCGCTGTTTCTCCTGCAGAGGACAGGAAACACTTTTGTTAGCAGTCTGGCTGCTTCCCGGCCTACAGGTGTGGATCGTCTGCTGATTTAAACATTCGTATTTCCCTCATAAGTGCCAATACTCGCATGGGTAATTAGCAAGCAAGATGCATAGGAACAGGCCTGAATGCACAACTGGTATGTGGGTTGGGACTTCTAATCGGAAGGTTGCTGGTTCAAAACCCAGGATTGGCAGAGTGATGTTACCATTGGGCCCTTGAGCAAGGCTCTCAAACCCCAATTGCTGTAGGTAACTTTGTCAGTTAAAAAATGTTTGTCACTTTGGATAAAAGCAGCTGTAACTGTACCGGCTTTGGCGCCAATAGGAGTCCCTTGTCATGTGGCTTCTGCCGTCGAGGCTGCGTTAGGGGGCTGTTCTGCATCGTGTGTCTCGTCCTCTTCTGCTATCTGTGCTGTCACATCAGAGTCCTGTGAGGAGAAGTTTCCAGAAGGCAACTGCTGACAACACGGACTGTGGATTATCTTTGGGAAAATTAGCAGTGGGATGATAATTGACCTGCCCCCCCCCCCCCCCCAAAAAAAAATAACTTTTTGACTAACACTCCCTCTTTTGTTCTTGAGTTGGATAAGAATAATGATTCTTCTATGGAGAGCAAATTTCAGCGAAATGGAATCTCGACTGTCATGGCTGATTCGTTTTATTTTCATTGGGGGGCCGCTGTTTAAGTGTTCCTGCGCTGTTTATCAGTAAACCAGGGGATGGCTGCGCACATCATTAACTCCGTATCACAAAGGGCCCCCATGAAGCTGGGATGACTGTATGGAGGGAGAGCGATTCCCGGCATGGTAATCTGTGGTGGGGGGGGGTTTGGCCTTGTGAAGAGGCTCAGGGAGAGACACAGGGACATGCCAGAGAAATGGGGAGGGCTACCATTTCCATTTTTAGTCATGGAATTGTGGCGGCTCCATCACCCCCTCCTCCAATCCTCACCCCCTCTCATCCCAAGACGCCCAACGGAACGGCGGCGTCAGGTCACCTGACCGTCTGCATGCAGCCATCGCTGCGGCGAACTTGCCGAGGGGGTGTGTCCCCACCATGGAGATGCCCCTTCTCCGCTCCGGAAAAACGATGCACTCGCACGCTGCAGGTTAACTGGGCCTCGTGCGTGTGGAAGACGCCCCCCTTTAAGAACCTTCCGCACTGCAAGGAGCAGGTTTCCCGTGGAATCCAGCATGGAGAAAAACGCTCCTTCAGAAGGTGACTTAACTGCGCTGTGAGGCAGTGAGGATGATGGCCGGCGTGGCAGAGAGCAGGCAGCTCTGGCAGTTTCACTGCCGGTTATCGACACTGCTTTCCCCTTTCTGTTAAATCGCTGCACTTTTGACCCCATTATTTGTTTGACTGGGGCCCCCTCTGCCCCCACACTGATCATTAAAGCGTATTCCTCACTCAAAATGTGCTCCTCACTAAAATGTGCATTTTTTTCCTTTAAATTAAGAATAATGGGAGGACAATGGCCCAGTGCTGTGCCGTCAAACGTCCATGTCTATGAGGAATGATGGCTGTCCTGCATGTGGACACAAGCTTAAGCTTAAGCTTCCACGGTCCAAAGACAGTCCACATTTTTTGCTCCTTCCCAGTTCCCAATACACCTGTGCCAGGTGTTCGGTGTTCTTGATTGACCGGGACCTGGGAGGGAGCAAAAATGTGGTCTGTCTGGGGGTCCCTGTGGACTGGGTTGAAAATCACTGACTTAGGTAGTTTCTTTAGCCTTGCACTGGACGGGCGTCCCATGCAGGGTGTCCTCTGGGTGTCCTACGATTCCTGGGACTGGCTCCAAGCTCACCGTGAGTGATTAAAAACATTACATCCAGACGTCAGATTTTACAACTGAGACTTTTTTGGCAACAAGCAGGTCCTGCCGCGCCTCAGAAGATGTCGTGAGCTCGGCTTATGCGGATGACCGCTTCTGCGTTACAGTTCTCGGCCCACGCTGGATGCTGTTTCACCCCAGGGCATCGCCGACCTCGCCAGACAGTGGCTAAAAAGCGAAGCGGTCGCTGAATAAACGAGCTAATGCCAGATGTGTGGCTTTGGGGCCTGGCGCTCTTCGAGCGGCGAGTGACAGCTCTGCTCTGTGCTCCCTTCCCACAGACAGACTACTACTTCGAATACACGGAGTGTGACAGCACGGGATCGCGGTGGAGAGTGGCCATCCCCCGTGGACAGGGAACCTGCTCGGGACTGCCGGACCCGGTCAGAGGCACCGACTGCAGTGAGTATGGGAGGGAACCCGTCTGGTAGGCATCAGGCTGGAAGGGAATGGTTCCATGGGAAGGGGTCTCCCTCCCGGGGGGTTAGGAGGAGATGGACACGAGGGAACAGTAATCAGGAAAAATTATGGCATTGTTTAAAAAAAAGGTTGAAATTAACAAGCATTCAATTTAATAGGCATTTTGGAAGGAGAAAGCCTGTGTGTTAATTTGCCTGCTAATTGTCGTGGGTCTCGGAAGGATGAATGTGAGGGTGTGATTATCGCGCCCCCCCCCCTGCATTCCTGACACCTGCTAATCTCTGGTGTGGAATTTCCCATCCAAACACGTCCTGCCTCAGAGATCCTGTGGCGTTAGGCATGCGTCCTTTTCCGCAAGTCTTGCTGGAGACAGAGAGCAGACCGCCTCGCTATCGGACCAGCCGGGTCACACCGCTTTCGGACAAGCCCCCCGGAAGGATGCAGCCTGAACGGGCCCAAGTTTCTCCCCATGTTACCATGGAGACCAGGCGAAACCACCACAGCAGTAGCATGTCAAGAATCCGGCTGACTTTAGTGGTTAAGACGACACAGGGATGATGGGTGCTGGCCTTGGCGTGACCACGTCGCTGCATGGCGAACCGTGAATGAAAACCTGGCGGGTCCTGGATGTGCGTAGAAGCTGGTTACCACGGTAACGCACAGGAGAGACAGCGCCGGGATGACAGATGATCTCAGCTGTCCATTTAGCGAAAGTCTGTCCATTATTCTGTCACCATCAGTGTGTGACATTTGTGTGTTTAATCCAAGCCATTGTGATGTTTCGGAAATCAGCCTTGAGCGTAATTAACAATTAATGAGTAGCGTCAGGCTGTCCTGTCTGCTGTGTGTCATATGGGGGCCCTGCGGTCTGGGGAGGCCCAGGAACGAACCCCCTCCCTTTAAAGTTCCCCCCCATCTGCACTCAGTTTTGCTCCCCTTTTCCAGCTGCTCTATGTCAATAACGGCAGCTGCTATGTACTCGCC